TATTTTGGTGTATTTTTTAGACTAGTTAATCGTTTTAGCCGGGCTAAAAACGATATACCGGTCGATAATTTACACCATCACACCCTAAATAGGACTAAAACATAGATAAAAGTACCAAAATAGGGCTTTCTTGTTTTTTTTTTAAATAGGACTTTGCACTGTGGTAATGTGACTTTGTCATGTTGTAATGCGGCAATGTACATGTGCAAATTACTATACTTTTTGGTAATGTATATGACCATGTATGGTAATGTAAATCCTATTTCGTAAATAAAAACATGAAAGTCCTATTTTAATATATTTTCAATGTTTTAATACTACTTTAGTCTTTCTCCTTATAATCTACATTTACGACACTAACCCAGTTATAACTGGGTGATTTCCCTGCATGTGTAAGTTTGTTGTTTTGTATTCCATTATATGTAACTTTAGTATATACTTTCCCAAATAAAGCAAAGCGGATTAGTTGACTCCGTTTCATCTGCAGTATCCACCAGAAACGGAGTAGCCAACTCCGTTCCAATGATTTAAATAGAGAAACAGATTAGCCAACTCCGTTCCAATGATTTAAATAGAAAAACGGAGTAACTAACTCCGTTCCAATTAATTAAATGTTTAAACGGAGTAGCCAACTCCGTTCCTTGTATTTTTTTTAATTTTTTTAAAAATGAATTATTAGTTTTATTTCATATATTTGAAAAACTAAAAAAATTATTGACATATAATGAAACAAACAATCTACTAACAACAAATTCATAAAGTAAATAAATATTTATTGACTAATAATGCATCATACACTGAATTACAAATAAGAAGTAAATTAAAACAAATTTATTGATAGAGTACATAAAATTTATCCATAAAATTTAGGATACAAAACACATGACATAACTAATTTATTTTTTTAAAATCAGAAAACATAAACTTGAACATTTGAAATCCATGATATAGCTATTGTTCATTGCGACGTCGTCGTGGTCGATAGTGCATGTTATTTGGGTAGCGAGTTCTTGTTGGTCGACCGGTTTGTGTTCTCGCTCGTGCAGTTGGTCTCACAATCTCGTATCCTGGAGTAGGCCAGTCGTCCTCATCGGGAAGCGGCATTAGGATGCCTGAATAAGCGTTGATGTAGGACTGGAGTGAAAAAAAAATTAGGAATCAAATGATCCACAGTGACACTACACTGATGACATACTGCATGAACGTGAATGCACGGAATGTGATATATTACCCAATATCCACAAGTACATGTCCGTGCATTTAAATTCACCGCAAATGTCTCGTGGTGACCATTGTTGAAGGATCCATCCACAACCACAGAGTATATCCCATGTTGTGCGTGGTGCTGCACAACACGACAATAAAGCCTATTTTCTTCATTGTGCTTGATCTTTTTCCACACATTTATTGGAAAATTATACCCAGATTGCTGCCACAAATATCCATTGGTTCGCCTATCAGCAAATAGCTTGACCAATTTGTCATACGTGAACCTCACAATGGCAAAGACGGGTAAACAACGACATCCCTTAAGGACATGATTGAAGCTTTCAGACAAATTTGTTGTCGTTATACCATAGCGTCCGCCACCTTCATCATGCGACAATGCCCACATGTGTTTTGGAATAGCCATAAGCCAGTTGTAGGCTTCTTGATTTTTGGACGCTATCTCGAGAAGCGTCTGCTCAAACTCACTTCTGTTAGGGGTCTTGCCAGCTTTATACATCATGTTTTTATGTTTCTTACTCCGAAACTTGTTATGGAAATTGCTTCGCACATGGCGGAGACAAAATCTTCGAGTGACTTGACCTCCCAGCAGTTCTGGAACATTATTGAATACGTGATCAATACCACTGTGCCTATCAGATATTATGCATATATGGCGGTGTGGAGGTACGACATGTCGCATGATATTTGTCATGAACCACTTCCAACTTTCGCCATCTTCAACATCCACAATGGAGAAAGCCAAGGGAAAAATCTCACCATTTCCCGTCATTGCCACGGCAATTAATAAAGTTCCCTTATACTTTCCGTTTAAGTGAGTTCCGTCCACTAAAACAACTGGAAGACAGTAGTGGAAGCCATCAATGGATGCCTTGAAAGACCAAAAAACATACCTGAACTGAAATGTAGTCGGTGCATTTGTAGGTAGAGTTTGCAAATCCACAACTGTCCCCTGGTTTGATTCCATTATTGCACCGAGCAACTAGTAATATACACATTCAAACTAAACTATATATGTATAACATTATGATATTATGAATACTCACCTCTCCCTCGAGCAATTTGTCAAGCTGGTCCCTGTATGCTCGTATGGAGTGCGTGGTACAATCTGACCATCGATGGTAACACACCTATCTGCAAGCGAATGATTATGCACAACCATGAATGAAATATAGAATATGATTTTATAATATATACATAAATAAACTACAAATACCTGACTCCATATGGGACATCTACTAGCTGATCAAATGGTATAACCCCTCTAGGTCTAGTCATAGGCAGACGCTCCCAAGCCCAAATCTGTAACAAGACTAGACAACCTCCAATCTGTGCTGCACTCGTCGCACTAGCACGACACATACTGCGATACAAGTAACTGAGTACTGTCGAACCAATCGCACGACCTCGCACAGTGTTTGCGTCACCCATGATTATCTCTAAAAGATACAAACTAACCTTATTTCCCGTCGTGTTGGGAAATAGGCTACCACCCAACAACTTAAACATAATGGCTCTGGCATGCTGCAAGTAATCTACATCTAAACTATGATCTGTTAGTTGCTTAGGAACAATGGCAGACATCTTAATCATAATAGAAGTAATATCAGAAGTTTGAGGCCGAAATCCCATCATGTCCTCACAAATCTGAATCCACTGGTCTCTGGATCGGCCAGTCATCCCCGCCAATGGATTGCCATCTACGGGCAATCCAAGTAAAACCTCTACATCCTATAAAGTAATTCCAACCTCTCCGAAGGGAAGATAGAATGAATGGGTCTCTGGCCTCCATCTCTCCACTAGAGCTGTCATCAAAGCCCAGTCCAACTGCAACCCACCAACTTTCTCAACCCCATAAAATCCGTATTCTCGTAACAACTGAATCACACGAATCGGTCTATTAACAATAAGTGTCCTTGCATACAAGCTAGTACAAGTCCTGTGACACTTTAATAGATGTTGAGCATATTCTTCACTGGCCCAAACTGCATCACACCTGTGTTCTCCCGCTTCAATTACTAGAACATCTCGGAAAATAGGTCCCGGATGTACATCTATTTGCTTCAAGGATTACAACATAAGAATATATTCAATGAATAAAAACATAACAAGACAATAATATTATAAAAAATCATGAAGTAACCACTTATACATACATACAAATTTGTATCAAATTTGTAAGATTAAACTATATATTTGTCAATATTTTCACATCATCGAAACAAATATAACAAAAAAATCACATATACATATAATCTATGACTAAATATATTTCTTACAAAATCAATTTAAAACAATATTCAAAATCTTGTACAACAATAATAAAGGAAAAAAAATTAAGAACAAAACGGAGTACCTGACTCCGGTCGGGTTGCCCGTCGATTCCTCTCTTCCTCGGCGTTTCCTTTTCCTCTCGTCCAGGCGACTCTTGTTCTCTTCTCTCTTCTCTCGCGTGCGTTTTCTGTTCTGTTTGGCAAAGGGAAGCCGAACGAGTGGATGGGAGGGGAGTAGATCTCAGATTTGAAGAGAAACGGAGTCACCAACTCCGTCTCATTATTTTTAAATCCGAACGGAGTAGCCTACTCCGTCTGGGAAATTATTTCAAAATTAAACGGAGTAGCCTACTCCGTGATGCACTGCCAGGAAATAAAACACTGACTTACACTGCCAGGAAGTGTTTTTAATTTGTTTACATATATCGGGAGTTTACTCATTATAACTAACATAGGGCCTTTGTGATTATAAATGTACGGGATATATTTGGATTATTTTCAAAATAACATCAAACAAGCCATTTGGATGAATACAAAGTGTTCAACACTCTCGAGTCTCGACTTCTCGTACTATTAAGAGCACAATCATTTATCAAGAGACATGTTCAGGTGTTCAACCTTTTATTTTTTTGAAAATTACGTAATACTGCAAATGATAAGCATATTCGTTTATGGTTTGTTTGGAAACTTGAATTTAGATTTCAAATCTAGATTTGATTCGAATTCCATTTTTGAGAAACATAAAAAATTTAAATTTGGATTTAAATCAAATCACACTCATTTATAAGAAAGCTCAATTCAAAATCCATATCTCTTTCCTTGTCATTCGAAATTTAAGAATTCAAATTTTGAAATTGAAATGCATGAATTGAAATGAATTTCTAGTTTCTAAACACTACCTTAATCATTTTAGTTCCTCTGTATTTGATTTCTTCGCATTAAGGAGCTCTAGTCGAGTGTCTCGAGTCCCTAGAAAAAAATCTTCTATCAAGGCCGGCCGAGAAGTAGCAAGCCTACTCCTCAGGATTAATCACTACAAAAAAAACGCGGCATTGGCACGGACGGTAGTATAAAATATCCGTGACTTTCTGTGTTGGCACGGAAATTTGGCACGGACGGTGGAGCTGCCAATTACGGGGCTCCAAAAACATTGGCACGAGATCCCGTCCGTGCCTAAAATTTGGCACGGCGTTTAGCACAGAAGCGTCGTTCCAACCTAACGCCACTAACAGTTTAACGTTTAAGTTATTGGCACGGCGCAGACCGTGCATCAGTCCGTGCTTAATTGAGCATGGACAGGTGGCACGATACTTTCCGTGCCATAATTTTTTTTCAAATTTGAAAATTAAAAGAGGCGCCAGTACCTCAAATTCTATTAGAAAGTATAATTAAATTAGGATACTTCTTTCCTTTCCTACTAGGATTATTCTTTCCTTTCCTACTTGTACTTTGATTACTTTTGTATTCCCTATATATAGGGTCATATCTCTCAATATTCAATAAGACAAGTTATTATCAAATTGTATCATGGTATCGGAGCTAAGGCTCTCAAAAACCTAGCCTCTCTTTTTTTCCGACCGCCGCCCACTATGGCAGCCCCGTCGGATCCTTTGGCGTCCTTACCCTCCGGAGTAAAACTTTTGCTTCGGAGTCTCCACAACTTAATCCCAGAAAAACTCACCGAAACAAATTATCCGGCATGGTCTCTCAATGTCCAGACAGCTCTTTCAGCTAATCTCCTCCTTGGATGGATTGATGGTCATGAAGCAGCCCTGGCGCCAACTATCTCCAAAAACGATAAAATCGTCCCTAATCCAGAGTATACCTCCTGGATCATCGTTGACACACATATCCGCGCCTGCCTCCTAGCGGTCATCAGCCCCTCCGTTCACAAACATGCTCGCGGCTTCACCACATCTGCTGCCCTCTGGGATGCTTTAGCCGCATGCTACAACTCCATGTCCACCGCTCATGTTTATCAGCTTCGGGACAAACTCCACACTCTTCGTAAAGGTACCAAAACTATGACACAATAGCTTGATGATGTGGCAACTATTCTCTCGGATCTCGATGCCTTGAAAGAAGAGATCCCTGAACGTGATGTGGTGAATGCTGTTATTCGTGGTCTTCCCACCGAATACTCATCCTTTAAGAAAAACATTCGCATGAACAATACCAATATTTTGTTAAATCAGCTTTCTGGATGGCTGATCTCCGAAGAAATAAACCTGGAGATGGAGAATAAACTCAGCCTCACCGAGTCTACCATCACCGAACCTCGCACAGCACTTCTCGCTACGAACGGTCGAGGTCACGGTAGAGGAGGCTACCGCGGTCGACCGTCACCTGGACGTGGATATAACAGCGGACATGGAGAAAGGAACAACGGTCGACCGTCCCAGGGAAACGGTCGACCGTCACGGGATCTGCCAACCTGCCAAATCTGCGAGAAACGAGGTCACTCTGTGTCTGCGTGCTGGTATCGATTTGATGATTCTTATACTGCGAACTCCTCCTCCAGTGCCCCCCGTGCAATGCATGCATCTACGAGTAATCATTCTGGAACCTGGTATCTGGACACTGGTTCCAACACCCATGTCACGTCTGATTATTCTCAGCTACAATCTCCTCATCAATACACCGTTACTGATGATATTACCGTAGGCAATGGTCAATCCCTACCCATCACACACTCTGGCTCAGGTTTTTTCCATACTCCTAATGGTAAATACCACCTTTCTACTCTTCTTTATGTCCCTTCCCTTACCTCCAATCTATTGTCTCTCCATCGATTTACCAAAGATAACAACTGCACTCTTGTTTTCAATGCCAATGATTTCCAGATAGTGGACAATCCTACCAACCAGGTGCGGTACAAGGGCCTTTGTGAGCATGGGTTATACACACTTCCTTCCAAACTCCCAACCGTTGCGTATCAAGCTATCCAAGAGTCCACTTGGCATCGTAGACTCGGTCATCCAGCTCATGCGATTGCCAAATCTATTTTGTCTTCCTTAGGTTTTCAGTTTTCAAAGCCTTTACATTGTGAATCATGTTATGTCTCTAAGTCCTGTCATTTACCTTTTGAATTGTCTGAACATAAGGCCACAGCTCCCTTTCAATTAATACATTCTGATGTTTGGGGTCCCACCTCTGTTCCTTCCTGTAGCGGTTTTTGATTTTATATCTCTTTTGTTGATGATTTCAGCAAATTTACCTGGATTTATCCCCTAAAACATAAATCTGAAGCTTACTCTGTTTTTGTGAATTTTGAAAAAATGATTAAAACTCAGTTTAATTCTCACATCAAAATTTTTCGAAGTGATAATGGCAAAGAATTTGTNTATGGACACGCCACAGACGGTCCAACCCCAGAACCGTACCCCAACCCACCCTCGACCGTCACCTACTCCTCTCCAAAACACACAACCGGTTAACCGACCCCCGCCCCAAAACACACACACCATGCAAACCCGAGCCAAATCTGGAATTTTCAAACCTAAAGCCTATACCATTACCACCCTTGATACTACCCCACCTACCACTGAGCCTAGCACTTACCGCCAAGCCTCTGGTAATAGTTTTTGGTGTCGGGCTATGGATGAGGAGTTTATTGCTTTGAATGAGCAACGTACATGGGACTTGGTTCCACCACCCAAGAACCGCACTCCGATTGGTTGCAAATGGGTGTATTGCATTAAACGGAATGCTGATGGATCTGTTTCAAGGTACAAGGCTCGTCTTGTCGCAAAAGGTTATCATCAGGAGTATGACATTGATTACAAGGAGACATTCAGTCTTGTGGTCAAGCAACAAACAGTGCGCCTGGTCCTCTCTTTAGCACTCAACCGTGATTGGTCTCTTCATCAACTAGATGTTAGCAATGCCTTTCTTCACGGTACAGTGGACAAGGAAATTTATATGGAGCAGCCCCCGGGGTACATAAATCCCACTCATCCTCACTATGTTTTCAAGCTCCGCAAATCACTATATGGTCTCAAACAGGCACCCCGTGCATGGTACACACGCCTCTCCTCTTTTTTGCAGGGCCTTGGATTCAAGTGCTGCATTCATGATACCAGCTTGTTCACCAGACACTGCTCTCGTGGGACTATTGTTGTCCTTGTCTATGTTGATGATATTGTTCTCACTGACAGCTCTTCTACTCTCATCTCAGTAGTTACTCAGGCCATGCACCGTGACTTCAAGCTCAAAGAACTTGGACCTCTTCATTACTTCCTTGGCATTGAGGTTCAGCGCACGCAAGATTCTATACTTCTCCATCAATCCAAATATGCCAGTGATCTTCTACGCCGAGATGGGATGTCCGACTGTCATCCGGCTATTACTCCTATGGCTACGAGACCTATCACTAAGCCTTCGTTGCCTTTCAACGATATTTCTCATTTTCGGAGCATTGTTGGCGGTTTACATTACTTGGCTGTCACTCGTCCAGACATTCAATATGCTGCTAATCAAGTGTCTCAGACTATGCACAACCCCACTGAGCAGGACTATCATGCCTTGCAACGCGTTCTGCGCTATCTCAAAGGCACTTTGAATCATGGTCTTCTTTTTCACAAGGGGGGATTTGACCTATCTGTCTACTCTGACTCTGACTGGGCCAATGATAAAAATGATCGCAAGTCTACCACGGGCTACATACTCCTACTCGGTCCTAATATCATCTCTTGGTGCACGAAAAAGCAGACTCGTGTTTCTAGATCATCCACTGAAGCTGAATATCGAGCTATGGCTGCAGGGGTTGCAGAAGCTATGTGGCTTCGATATATCACTGATGCACTGGGTATTCCTCCGTCCAAACCGAAGTTATACTGTGACAATGATTCGACTATCTGTGTCACCAAAAATCCAGTTCTTCATGATCGCATGAAGCATGTGGGCACAGACTGTCACTTTGTACGAGATGAGGTTATGGCAGGCACTATGACTCCACATCATGTTTCCTCCTCAGAGCAGCTAGCAGACATTATTACCAAACCGCTTCCGCCAGTTCCTTTTGAGTACTTATGTTCCAAGCTGCCCCTCGTCACCGTTGATCAGCTTGCGGGGGGATATTAGGAAGTATAATTAAATTAGGATACTTCTTTCTTTTCCTATTAGGATTATTCTTTCCTTTCCTACTTGTACTTTGATTACTCTTGTATTCCCTATATATAGGGTCATATCTCTCAATATTCAATAAGACAAGTTATTATCAAATTGTATCAAATTCGAATATTGAAAATTTTAAATTTTAATTTTGGCAAGGCCTATATCCGTGCCATTAGTTTGACTTCTAAATAGTGTTTTTATGAATATTTTAAGTGCACGTTATTTAAATTGATTTGGCCCGATAAATATCCGTGCCTAATGTTACAAAAATTAAAAATAATACTTTTTTTAAAATTTTGAAGAAATAAATAAAATCAAATTAATCTATTAAACAAACACATAAATATAACTAAAAATTAAAACATGTTAAGCATCACAATAAAAAACATGTTCAACATCACAAAAAATAATATGTTCTACATCATAATAAAAAACACAAACACCACATGCAAATAATCTTCAACTGGGTCGGAACCACGGCTCTGCTCCTTTTTTCACAAAAAACCTGTTAATAATCTTTAACTAGGTCGGCCCCACTTTATCCTCCACCTCCTACAAAAAAATTAATTTACTTCAAACTAACGGAATAACAAAAAAAACAGAAGTATTTGAAACACAAAATAATTTACTTACCATCTTTTTCACATGCTCCCTGACTGAGCGACGACCACCGTAGTATTGCCTCTGTTTAGCCTTCTTAGTGTTTCTGTTCTTGCTCGACTTCTCGCTCTCGAATTTCTTTTGAGGCTGTTGTGTATGTATGCCATAGTCCATGAAAATTTCCCTTAATTATGAGTTTAATTGAGTCTAACACAAGCTGAGTCCTATATAGTTTAATTCGGAAAAAATAATCACACATTTAGATGATATAAAAAATTAAATATATTGAGAATAAAAGTTAAACATATTGAGAATTTTAAAAAATTAAATATACCCTTTAGTTCTGAAATAGTGATGCATCGTGAAAGGCCCTCATATTGAGAATCATTGACCATTCCTCTAACCTCGCCTTGGGACTCGCCTCTTGCCTGGAATATCGGCTGCGGCGTAGTCCCCGTCGATGGGGACTCTGGAGGGGCTCGAGATTCATTTGTATTGTTGAAGCTTCCTCTTCCCCGAATGCTTCCGCGGAAGCTTGTACTCTGTGTAGAAGATATTTGCAAAAATTGTGATTGACGTACTCGGGAAAAAGTGGGGATGACGCTTGCCGGCGACCGGAGTAGTCTAAGAACGAAAAAATGGAGGGTTGATGGCGAAGGAGAAGGGTTTTTTGGACGGTGGCGTTGGTTGGAGGAGGGTTTTTGGACGACTAGGGGAGCAAAGAAGAAAAGGTTGATCCGGGCTTTATATATTTTCTTGGTTGGCACGGCAGTAGGCACGGACGAGGCGTGCCAAAAGCTAATCCCATTAAATCCGGTTGTCAGAAGATGCAGTATGTTGTCAGGGATATGTATAGGCATGGCTATAGGCACGGCCTTTACCGTGCCAATGTTGATTTGCAATCATGCCACTGCCAACACCTAGACAAAGTTCTCATGATTTTATTCGAAGAATATTTTATTTTATCAAATACACAATGAATATTTGTTTAGAAATAAAAAATAAAAATTACATATTTAAAAACATACATCAAATGTTGTGGGAAACAGACAAAGTTCTTGCGATTTTAACTTCTCATTTTGACTTTTGAAGTCAAACTTTTTAAACTTTGACTGTATATTACGGAAAAAATATATTCAATTTTCATATAAATTTATTATCAATAGATTCATTTTGAAACATAGTTTTGAAATATATTATTTTTATAATATATATTCATTCAAAAATGGAGATATTAATGGTCAAAGTGTCACATTGGAGACATATTAATTTTGACTTTTGAAGTCAAACTTTTTAAATTTTGACTGTATATTACGGAAAAAATATATTCAATTTTCATATAAATTTATTATCAATAGATTCATTTTGAAACATAGTTTTGAAATATATTATTTTTATAATATATATTCATATAAAAATGGAGATATTAATGGTCAAAGTGTCACATTGGAGACCATGAAAAGTCAAATGGGAAGTTAATTTTAGGACGGAAGGAATAATATATATCTATACATAAATAGAGAAATATTACCGATTAAAGTGTTG